CGGGTGGGGGGCGGCGGCGGCACCATGAGCACCATGTTCGCCGACACCCTCCTCATCGTCTTCATCTCCGTCTGCACCGCGCTGCTGGCCGAGGGTGAGCCGGGCAGGGCGCGGCTGTGCGCGGGGGGTGGCCGGCAGCTCCCGGGAGCCGGGAAAGGGGCGGCACTGGGGGCCCTCGGGGTCACCTGAACCTAAGGACAGCGGTGAATCCTTCCCCTCCGAGCAGTGCTGAGCTGTGCTGCAAAGCGCTGGGAATTGGGGTTATTCCCTCCAGGAGGGAGGATGGAAAAGGACGTAGTGATTTTCCCCCATAGCTGTTAATGCAGGGTGTGAAGAAATCGCCTGACCTTGCAGTGATAGTGGTTTAAACTGCTTGGAAATTATATTTCTGTGGTTGGAATAGAGGCAGCTTTTTAATGAAGTGTCTTTCGGGGTAGTTACAAATCAGAGGTCCGGTTTCTGGAGTGCTGTATCCCTAAATCCCCTTTATCCCCCCTGTCCCCAAGTCTTCATCCCACACTTGCAAAACAGGTTTATCAATAAAAGTAAAAACTAAAGACTTGTTCCAGCTTTACACCTGTAGCTCATTTAATGGTTTATTTTACAGTTCCACTTTGCATGAGACTTGGAATGGGAGGATTTGAAGGAAAGGGATGGTGCAGTTTGCTGGCTGTGTTATAACAGGTTTTGTAGACATAAATTTTAATTTCTGCACGTGGATTTGCTCCCTCATAGCAGCACTACTGCATGAGATTTTTACTTCCCTCATTATTGGCTGAGTGTTTGTTTCAGGTATAACTTGGGTGCTGGTCTATCGGACAGACAAATACAAGAGACTAAAGGCTGAAGTGGAAAAGCAGAGCAAGAAATGTGAGTACTCAGGGCTTATTTATGTCCTTTATTCTGGTCTTTTGCTGGAGGAAGCTCAGCCAAAGACCTTTTGCCCCTCCTGTCAATGGAGGACAGGAGGGAGCAAGAGATTGGTACTGGCATCTTTTTTTTCTGCACATGAGCAGCCATTGTCTGAAATAAATGTCTGAAATATGTTCCAGGATGCAATTTCTGCCTGTCAGGGGCAAAGAGGAGAATTTGAGGTCTGTAGAAAGTAAGAACTAGGGCTGAATAATGAATACCACGATAAAAAAGCATTTTATGTAAAGATTAAAAGTGGTGATTGATGGTGGGGGATGAGTAAGGACTCACGGAAAAGTCTGAACAAACAGCTGATGTAAAACCAAATTATCCTAATGTAAACTGGAAGCAAATAGCTTAGGAAATATTAGGAAATAAGTCCCATGTTCATTCCATAGACAAGAGGTTTGGGAGGGGGTAAACAGAGAGTAAGGGAAAAGGGAGCTGAGGTTGAGCAGTCAGAAGATTTGCATCAAATATTAAGAGAAATGGTAAACAGGAGGGAGCATGGAATGTTTAAATGTATCAGTCTGTACCAGAAGTCAAGTTGCAGAGGAGAAATTCTGACCCTTCAACCTCAACTGTGTACACCCTACCCAAGTTACAGCAGTGAGAGACAGCACATGACAGCTGGGGCCAAAATAGAGCTGGTTTTACCTTACAAATATCTCATTATGGCTACAGCACTCTTCAATGCATGAGAGAACAATATTATCACATATTGCTCTTCCCAGCCCAGTTTATTCCAGCCTTCCCCTGGGAAATTTAAACTGAGGAGTTGAAGTATAGTCATGTTAGTGCACAGCTCTGACATTAGGGGCTTTTGTCACCACAGCAGGAGCAGATGGGGATTGCATCTCTGCCTGCCTCACTTGAATCCCACTTGTCCTGTGTGTGGGGTGGAATTGGCCCCAGAAGAGCAAGTCAGAGAAGAAGTTGAAACCCAGTTGAAACTTAGTGTCCTCTCTGTTTGTGCTGTTCAATTCCAAAAGCAGTTAGCGGGGCTTAATCTCTAGGGTTTAATGATTGCTGTAAGAGTTTAATGCTGTTTGCTTTTATAACTCTCCTGGTATCTCTCAGGATAGAGATATATCTCTATAGGCTCTCATCTGTGAAGGGAGTGATGTGAGGTTCATGCATTTCAATTAGTTTCTGATCTCCTCCTTTGATTCCCCACCCCCAACAAAAAAAAAAAAAGAAAAAAAAAAGAAAGGGTAAAGCTGAATAAAGAGTCAGTAAAAATTCAGCTTTGCTTTTTTCCCTTTCCCTCTTGTGCTGAGTACAGCTGGCTGACCTGAGTGCTTACAACTTGCCAAGTGGACCACTTAAGCCACACCTTTCAGCAGTTATCTAACACATCTGAAACAGGAAAAAACACATTTGAGACCTTTAAGCTCTCCCGTGAGAGTCCTAGCGATCCTTAGGATCTGCAGAAAACAAAGGGGCTGGGTAGTGTGCTTGAGCAGACATTGTTACTCCTTAATTTCATCTCTTCCTGTCCTCTTCTTCCTAGGGAGAGGCTCAGCGTTGGCTGAGGCTGCTGCAGGGATTGTTCTGGGTGAATGTAGGGGTAAATTTACAAGGCTGAAGGCTGTCCCTGGAATTTCTGATGTGTTGGAGGGAATTGGGGCTGAGAGTTCCTTGGGCTTGGCATAAGTCTTAACAGCACTGTCTAGAGTTTAGAGCTGGGGCCATGGGTTTATGTGGATCAGGGCAGGGATGGACTGATGGGGTTTCTGCAGCTGGATCTGGCATAAGGAGGGTTAGGGAGACACTGTTCTGCGAGCCCTGGGTGCATTATGTCATCTGACACCTCTCTCCAGTATTCCCTAGAATTCCCTCTCTGTTTTCCTCCCTGCCCACCAGAGATCCTCTGGTTCATTGGGAAAAGCATTTGTGTCTCACTCCATTGCCACGGAGGGATGATGTATGAGGTGACTTCTTTGGGCTGATGTGATTTTCGGAGCAGTTGGGACTGACTCACAGGCATTTCGTAAGGCAGCTCTACAAATCTTGGTGTGGCTTGGAAGTCTGGCTGTCTTCATTTCCTTTGGGCTTTGAAATCAGGGCTGGAAGGTCTGTGCTGAGCTGGTACTTCAGGAGGGAGGGGAGCCCCAGCACTCAGGTAAATGTGAGCTAGCAGTGAGCCAAGGCTCTTTGTTGGTAGAGTGGATATGCTACATGCAGTTGACAGAAATACAGTAAAAAAGGGCTGCTCTCTGTTGTTAGACCATGGTCATGCTCCATCATCTTTGCTTCCTGGAGTACTCTTGTTATAGGTCTTGAATGAAAATGTCTCTTTGCTTCCTGGAAAAGCCCTTTTTGTTGTCCCAGAACCTCCTTTGCAGCATATTCACTGTGTCATTCCCATTTCCCTGTGCTGGCTCTGCTGTGCTGCAGTGGTGGTTGGTGCTCAGTGCATCTCATTTGGAATTTTAGTACCTTTGACCTTAGGCTCTGCTTTAAAATATTGGAAATACTTCAGTACTAATGAGTTGAAGAATGGAGAGGCTGTGGCTGCCTGCTTGGACAGCATTTCCCCTGAGAATGGCTGCCTGTGAAGAAGGGATGTAGGAGAACACAGACTTTGCTGTATTTTGCTTCCCACTGCAGATAACCAGGAGCAGAGCTTGCCACAAAGCTCTTTTCATTCCACTTGCTGAATCAAAAGTACTGTCTGATATTAATGACAAATCAGCAAGGGTCACTTGAGCCAAAATTGTCCCCAGGCTGCTCAGTCCACAGTGTTACGGGCTCTTGACAGAGTTCACAATTAACTCTTTAAATATGTTTGTATGTTATCCTGGGTTTTGAAATTTTTTTTGTTACAGTTTTTAAGTGATTGGTGTAACCAGCCTTGGTAGTTGATAATTTATTGATTCTGGACATGTTCTTAGTCCTACTTAGCTGCTTTTTGTGCCCCTGTTCTGCAGAGGGACAAAATGGTTTGTTTGGTGTGTGGAAAAGGAGTGGTGATATCACCACCAGTGCAGAACTGATGGAGTGTCTTTTCATTTCGCAGTGGAAAAGAAGAAAGAAACAATAACTGAATCAGCAGGCCGACAGCAGAAAAAGAAGATAGGTAAGACTGCTGCGTCAAGAATGGTGGAAAGTTGAGAAACTGGTGGAAGTAATTATCCTTTCCTTCCTTTCAAGGCTGCTTATTCATCTGCCTTACTCTTCCAAGGCAGGAGATACCCAGCCTCCTGATGGTTTTGTTCAAATGGGTGGATCACTGAGAGGAGCAGCACCTCTTGCTGAGCTCCCTGACTTTCTCCCATTTTTGCCTTGACATCCATGGCTGTTACTAACTTCAGCTGTAGTGCATGGCAGCTTGCTGGAGCTATTAATTGTGATTTTGGGTCTTTTTTGTTTTCTTTTTCCCCTTCATTTGAACACTTTAGAGCTGAAGATGTTCATATTAACTGTAACCATGCCTAGATTCATTTCAATTTTGATAAATCAGTTTTGCTCAATTTTAGGCAGTGATTTATTTTTCCATTCTTTTTCATTGTCAGTAAGCTGAACTCTTTCTGGGTTAGGGTAACTCTTTAAGTACTGAACTAAGCAAGAACAGGGTAAAGAGATGTTCAAAGGTTTTAGGAGGATCTGCTATCTGCAGGACTCGCAACGTGCAGCAAAGCTCAGTTAAGTTATTACAGAGATTGTGGCAGGAACACTTCTGAGAGCTCCTGGGAGTTGGTTTCCTCATTCCTCTGTAACACCAGGTAGCTGGATTAGTCATTTGATCTGTACAAAGCTTGGGAATTATAAACACATCTTCAAACAGTTCTTCCTAGGTAGAAAACCTGTTGTCGTTAGATTCCTGAAGGGACAGGAGCCAAAATGTTTCCTCTTGTGCACTTTATTTCTTAATCTTGACTAATCCCTGCATGGGATGAACACTGGTGGATAAGGTAACTTTGAAAGTGACCATATGTAACAACTGCAGATAACATTCAATAAAAAAAGTGTGACAATGACTTTTTTGCAAGGCACCATCCAGGCTATGTTCCTAGCAGACAATATTTTACTTGTGCTTGGACTAAACCAATAAACAGTAGAATCTGAGGACTTCAGATGCTCCACCAATTTTTATACACTGAAATAATCTTGTTTTGCAGATGAAAAACAAAGCACAAAGGGACAAAGATCAGAACTTAGGAAACGACCACTGATTTTGTTTGCTGTGATGCTTGCTGGCCAAGCCTAAGATTCTGACACTGATTTTTTTGGGTTTTTTGTTTTTCTTTTACAAGTGCTGCATAACTTCAGTATTTCATTTGTGTTCATGCAAAGATGAATTCTTGATGTTTCTGAAAAATCAGATCCTAAATGTCACACTGGACTTCCAGAAAATGACTCACAGCTGTTAAATAGTTTTGAAATCTCTGATCTCAGTAACTTACTGGATGTCAAATCATTCTGCAAGATGGGGCATTGTTGTCACAGCAAATCTACTTGTGCTGGAGTTCTTCCAAGTTCTGCCATTTTAGTTAACAAAAAGTAAATATTGAGCTGAGGCTTTATGGATAAGTAACAGCTGTGGTACAGACCTGCCTCAGTTGCCATCTGTTCGTGCACAGAATAAGACAGGAGGTGTGTGGATGATATTACTTGGTTTCATAAGGGATGAATCATGCATGTGCACAAGGAGGTTGGGGGAAAGTTGCTTGGGAAGGCTTAATTTGGTGTTTCCTACTTTAAAAACTTTATTTTTAACTGTGGAATGAACTGTTTGTCACATTGTGTCTAAATCACCTTGGGCACTGCTGGAACAGGACACCTTTAGCATTGGTGTAGCCTTCTGTCATTTCAATTTAAAGAGATGATTTGTTAGCTTAAACTTTGCTACTGCCTTCTGTCTCCATGTGCTTCTGGAAGAGAAGACAATGACATTCCCAGGAGTCCACATGAGTGCTGGATGCACAGCAAAACTAAACCAAAATAAAAACCCTCACTCCTGGCAAATCTCTATCCCTGTATCCTCATGGTTCGTGTTCCAATGAGCAGAGTAAGATGATTTTGGATCCCAGTCCTCTTTCTCTGTGCCTTTACCCAACTGTAAACTACCCAGCAAAGTGCTTAACAGGCTGTTTATGTGTGGTTTGGGCAGGAATACACCATTTATCTAGGTTGGTAGACCACCCAGAGCATGTTCATTTTGAATCTGTAGAAATAGGTGAGAGACAGGTCAGGTATACTGGGAAATCAGAGCTGTGTTCTTTCCTCTGTGTAACCTTTAGCCCACCTAAATAGATGGTTAGTTATGCAGCAGAGGGGAAAAAACAAGTATTTGTGCCAAATGTGATTCCTGAAGAGCTGGCCTGTGGTTGCTGATATGTCCCAGGACACAGCTTCCCACCTGGCTCAGGAAACAGGTGTCTGAAAGGTTCCTGCCAGAGGGGATGGTTTGCAGTTAGGAGCAAGTGGAAATAGCAAAGAGGTTTCTAAGGAATTGGGTAGGAGTGTTGCTGTTGCTTTTCATAACACTGGGTCCCTGTGCTTAGCAGGGGCTTGGGAGAGAATTGTGGAGTTTCTGAGCTGTGGGCCTCTGGTACTGAATCTTCAGTGGGGATCCCTTGAAATTCCCATGCTGGATAGCCCTTGGCAGTCATTCTGCATCCTCCCCTCTTTGCTCATGCTGTTCTTTGGATATTCTTTCATTATCCACATCCTTATTTCAGCTGGCTGTTGCTTCCCAGCCCTGGCTGCCCCTCTGGATCCTCGGTCTGAGAGGAGCACAAGGCATGACAGGGATGTTGGGACAGGAAAGGTGACAGATAGTGGATAATGCTGAAGGCCAGAGCAGCTGTCCAGTGAGGGACATGGAAAATACCCTCTCAAAAATCTGAGTATCTTTGAAGTCTGTGGTGATTCAAGGATACACTAAATTTCCAAAGTATTTCCTGCAAAGCACAGTAATACACTCATTGCCCAATTTTATGTAGGAAATCTTTCCTCTTTGGAGAATCTCCTAGGTGTGAGAAGGGTACAAAATTCATTACCAAGACCAGCAGGATTTTGACGTTGCTGAGGTGCAGATCCCAGCCCTGTGCATGGTTTTTCCTTTTGAGACCTCCAAAAGGAAATCCTTATTTATTCAATGTATTTATGATAGTGTGCAGCAAATTGATCAGTGCTCCCTTTGGGGATTGTGGCAGAGGGGTAGTTTTTGTTTCCTGGCAGCAGTGTTCATGCTCCTGTGTGAGTTGGTTGAGTTAGCAAATCTGACATTGGGTGCATTTCTTTCAAAAATGCTGAATGTGTGATTCCAGCCGCCTCCTCTCTTTGTGCCTGACTTGCTGCATGTTGCTGTGGTGGAGAAGCAGTTGGCTGTGTACAGTTTTTCACTTTCTACTGTCTGGCAAAGAGAGCTGGAGTTGATTTTGGAAGTGTTATTTGTTTGGAGAGCCAAAGAGGTTAAGTTTTCCTGGAAATGAAAACACTCTGGTTTCTAGGTTGACATAACTGATTATAACTGTTGTTTTTGTCTTTCCAGAGAGACAAGAGGAGAAACTGAAGAATAACAACAGAGACTTGTCAATGGTATGAAAATTTAAAGCCAGTTCCCAACTGCTGAAGATTTCAATCAGTTTTCCAACAGAAAGACTTTGTTCAATTGGCAGCCAAAGCTGCTTTTCCTTTGAAAAGGTCCTTCTGGATTTTCTCTAATAACTACAATTTTAGTGTGAGCCACAGAGTTACTGCCTCATCTCATGCCAAGCCTTAGCTATTTTCATCTTTGTAAGTCTCCATGATGTTTTGCAAAGTAGAATTAATTTTTGTGGCTTCCTATAACTTTGATCATTGTAATGATCCCCTACTGGGAGTCTTCTGGGAATCCCCCTGATGGATTTTTTAGGTTTAAGGAAAAAATAAAACCAGCCTGTGCAAGCTGACAGGACAATTCTTGAGCACTTTTTGGTTTTGTCTCTCTGAAGCAGAACTTCCCATCAGTGGCCCACACTGTGGCTGCCTTTGTACCCAGTCTTTCTCGGACTTCTCCAGTCACCTTTACAACACCTCTGTCTCATGGGCCATCCTTTTTCCCTGTTGATTTCAGTGATCTGTACAAAGCCTGTTTTTAAGGCTCATAATACCTCAGTGTGGGCCTGTTGTTCAAAATATCTCTGACCTTTCTGCTTGCAGGTTCGGATGAAATCCATGTTTGCCATTGGCTTCTGCTTCACTGCCTTGATGGGAATGTTCAACTCCATGTAAGTATCAACTTCTGGATTTCTTTCTGAAATTTTTGTTGGAAACATATTTTCCACTTCATCACTTGATGTGTTTAAGTGACATTGTCCAGCCAAGAGCCATAAATAAATGAATGAATGAATCCATATTTCATATGAAGATGTGGTGGTTTGGTCATCACATGCATGTTCTGCTCAAGAGGGAGCATTGAATAGTGAACACAACCAAACTGAGCAAATTGCATTCAGCTGGACACAGCTTTAATACCTTTTCTGTATGGGAACATCCTGGTTAAGGCAAGTTTGGTGGATGTCAGGCAAACTTCTTCAGTCTTCAGCTGCTTTGGCTTTGCTGTAATGGTGTGACCAAAGAATGCTCTTGCAAACAAAACTGGGTCAGCTCCCTTGCCCTTAGGAATGAGCTGTAATTGCAGAGTTTGTTGTTGCCCTACTTGAGGTGATCAGATATAAACAGGTCCAGGCATGGGCTCCAAGCTTCATTTGTTTTAAAAGTGACCTGGGATAGGTGTAGTTTAAAAAAAACAAATAGACAAGAAACCCCAAACTGGTTTTCATGGTTATAGACAGCTTTGTTTCAGATATGCAAATCTGAAAGGCTATGCTTGGCTTTTAGAACTTGATTCACTCGAAATATTAAATCTGAAGATGACAGGAATGTTGTTAGGATAACCTTTAGGAGGCTGCTTGATATCTGGGCAATATCCTTGCCCTGCAAACAGGAATTTACATTCTTGGGCACCAAAGCCTTTGGATTCTGTGCTGGCAGTCCCCAGGATACAGTCAATTGTTATTTTACTGGAGATCTGTGGGTGGATAAATTGCAAACATGGGGTAACATAATAACAGAAGTGCCACTGTGTGGATCCTTTATTTATGCAGCTTAGTCAGACTTCAGCACTGAGCGTTCTGAGCAGAGCAAAGCAACCCAACACTGGAGGATTTTAAAATTTGGGTACAGTCCTGAGTCAGTGATGTCTCATTTCACTGCAGCCCTGAGCAGGGCTGGAGGTGCATTGTGAGCAATGAGGGGTCTGAGTGGATGTTTGTAGGGTTGCTCTCCAAGTGCTTGCCTTGCTCTTTGGGTACAATACAAACACCAGCACTTGCCCCTAAAGCAAACTAAAAAACAAACTAAAAATGCTTTACCCCACTGTACCCACTTTCCTAGAGGGAGAAGAAGCAGTTGCTCTGAATATTTATGACTAAAAAGTATTACAGAACTGTATGTAGGAAGGGGTTGATTTGGGTTAAATTCTACATGGCTCCTCCTTCCATAGATACTAACTTAAAAAGAAAGAAGAAAAAGGAGAAAAAACCAATAAACGTCTTCCAGGTTTACTTGTCTTGTTCCTCTTTTGAGGATTCCTGCCCACAGAGACCATTCTGCTGAGCAGAGAATTGATGTCAGCCTTTGGGCATGTCTTTTATTTAACTGCCTCTTTCTTTAGAGGGAATCTTGAGCAGTAGGAGTATCCATGGAGGCACCGTGGGTGTGGTAGGAAAAGGAGGAAAAGGGTGGCTGACACCTGCAATGGCTGTGGCCACGTTTGCTGCTTTTCCTGTTCTTGAATGAGCTCATGGCTGCTGGGAAAAAAGGAGCAGGAATTGTGTGGAGACAGCAGCCTTTGGACAGGTACTCTGCAGATGCTGCTACTCTCTGAGCACCTCATTGCCAAGTGCCCCCTTAGCCAAACTGGAAATCACTGAGATGATTTCCTGCTGTCATTCCTGGAGTGTCAGCAGTCCTGGGGCAGCAGGTTGGACCGTGCTGGAAGAATGTGGAAGTGTCAGCAAGGCTGGTTTAAACCCAAAGAGCAGAATGCTGTGCCCAAGACAAACAGCTGAGGGGCTGTTGTGGCTTAAAAGGTTCATTATGGCAGTGAGATCTGCAGCAGCACTGGCCTCCAAGCCACCAGGGTTTTCACCTGGGGCAGAAATTACCTTCTGTGTGTCTCAATTTCCTCTTTCCTCCAGGAACTTTTTCATGCAATCAGTTCCCTGCCTTACTCTAAGAGTCGTGCATTCTGGTACCTCTTGGTAATTGTGAAAACCTGCTGGAATTAAAAGCAGGTACCTCAGGGTGCTACTGCTGAAGTACTTGTCATTCTCACAGCAGGAATAACGCAGAATTTTAAGCCACTGGGGGATGTTTCAGGGAGATAAACATCCGTTCCGAGCTCTTTTGCCAAACTGCCTGTGAGATGTAAACAAAGTTGGCGTGTGTTTGAGCCGTGGCTGTGTGAATGCATCTCCACAGGAAAGAAGGCTCATTTAGGATCTCTTGAAACAAGAAACACCTGTTCGAAAATCAGCACATGCTGAGAAAATAACATCCAAATATGCACATGCTGATGAGGCATCATACACATCCACATCAAAAGATTGGGTTGACTGTCTGGCTTGGGAGAAATCTTTGCAAACTGGCCAAAATTCACACTCTGGCTGATGCCCTGGAATGTGGGCCTGGAGGGATTCCAGGAGCAGGACATGCCGCTCGGAATATGCGGTATCATCCTGCCTCTGCACTGCCTTCATCTCCACAGCTAATGCAGAGAAACTGGGGGCATGAAGTGTTCTGTTGATGGCTCTCCTGGGCATCCTGAGGAGCACAGCTGCCCCAGGGAAAGAAAAGGTGTCTTTGATTTATGCTCTGGTTTAAAAAATGCTGTTTTGCTTGAAGCAAAGGGTCTGTCTTGTTGCAGTAACTGCAGTTATTCTCTCATTCATCTTTTATTGAAGTGCTGACTGTGTTCTGGGAACTGATCTGCTAAATCTGACTTAGAAATAAAATGCACCAGAAAACTGCAAAACACCAAGATTTCATGAACCAGCAGCTTGTCCAATTGATCACTTAAATCACTAGGAAACACTTTGATTATGGGATATGTCTTTATCCTCCTAGGTATAGCATATGGAGAGGGGCTGGAGAACACAGCAAGGCCTTTTAGCCTTCCATGTGGTCTTACCTGCTGTGGTGGCCTGTTGTAGATGCTCACTTGTTCTTTCTATATCCAGAAGCTCTCACTGCTGTCTCCAGTGGTGATCCAGTGCTCTCTTTTCCAGATTTGACGGCCGAGTGGTGGCAAAGCTTCCGTTTATCCCCCTCTCCTACATCCAAGGTCTCTCCCACCGCAACCTCCTGGGTGAGGATTACACTGACTGCTCCTTCATCTTCCTCTACATTCTCTGCACCATGTCAATCAGACAGGTGAGTACACTTTCCCTGGAGCAGGGAAAGCATATCCCCATCCAGGAAGCGGAGTATTGCACGTATAATCTTGGATCTGTTTGTGGTTTCTGTGTTTGTCTTCATTCCTGTGCCTCGTATTCAAAGCAATTTTAGGTTGGGATCATTAAAACAGTCGCTGTCCTGGATGGGCCTGGAAGATTTGGCTGGAGACTTGCATCAGGGCTCTGGGAGAGAGTTGGCAGAGATGGATTCCTGACTTGTGTGATAACTTTTGATTGCCATACCAAGAGATTGTCTCCATCAGAAGCTAAATCCTACTCCTTAGTAATCATGACTTTTACAGCAATATGTACATCTTTACAAACAGCAGCATCTTTAGGGGGAACTTCCTAGGTGGCTTGCAGCTCTATAAAAGTTTTATCAGTCCATAAAGTTGCTAGAAAAGTGAGGCAACAGTTAAAGCTCCTCTTTTGGGTTTGTCCTTCCTGTTTTTGCTGGCTGCCTGATTTTTTTTCAGAGTCTTAAGAACTGTACCTTTGGTGTCAAGTCTCTCCCAGCATTAGGGACATGACACAGAGAGGGGGTCTGGTATGCTAAGCCAAGAGTAGGCTCCACAGACCTCTCCAGCAAAGCTCCATAGTCCCATCTTTTGGAAGAGCATGAGGATATCAGTGAGGGACCTGTTCAGGAAGCTTCACTGGCAGCTCAAGTGTCAGAATGGCTGGTGAGGACAAGAGGGCCTTCTCAGTACAACAAGAAGTCTGTTTTGTTTTCCACTTTTGCCACAGGGTGCTGGGGATAAGTTAATACACTCTGGATGAATGCTGGTGCAACTAGCTGCAAATTACTTTCTCTTCTTTATTTATATTTCCCTTTTCTTTGATTCACTTCCTGAATTCTCACTGCTTTCCTTCTTGACCCATTTATTGCTTTTCCTTGGGGGTGCCAAACTTAGACTGAGGGACTTAGACCTAAAGCAGATCAGCAAAGGGAAGTGGCAATGCCAGGAGTGGGGGGGAGCTTGATGGAGCAGCTCCATGAGACAGAGTTCCTTCAGTCACAGAGTGCATGCTGGTGGATGGAATTCCCCATAGCCCTTTGTACTGGGTGCTTGTGTTGAAATGGATCCCAGTCTGGTCCTGTGCAAGAGCAGATAATGAATTGAATCATTTATGCTGAAAGGATCACCTGGGGGTTCATCTGGGCACCCCTCACTCCAAGCAGGCCCAGCTTCACCTAAGGCCAGGCAGGAGATTCCTCACTCTCTTTGCTGCAAGACAAACTTTCACTTCCCTGTGACTAGAGCAGGGTTTGCTGCTTTGAAAGCACTGAGACACTGAGCTCTTAGGATCACCTTCCAGAATTCCTGGGATGCTGTGGTCTGATGCTGTTCCTTCAGGCAATCGTGGCTGGTGCTGCTCTGTGTTACCTGTTACATGGAAAGTCCTTTCTTTTCAGTGTTGCACATTATGTTAGGAAATTGAATAGCACCACCAGCAAGATGTTTCTGCACCCATTGGGTTGATTGGGGAATTCTCTTGCTGAAAAATCCCTCAATTTTTTTTTCCAAAAATACAATTCCTATGGCTAATTCTAATGCAGTGGGTTGAGCTTTCCATACGACTTCTGGGAAACAGTTGTCCTTGTGCTTGAGAGTTCCTGCTGATGTCCCTGTGGAGGAGGAGAGTGAGTTTATTTCTTTGCAGAAGGGTGTGAGACTTCAATCTTCATGTGTTCAATTCTTCTGTGTGTAAGGAGTGCTGCCTTATCTACGTGATCGTGGTTAACAATTCCTGCACTTCTGCAGCTGTCAGGCAGCTCAGCTTCTTCCTCCTTCCTACTCGAGGGAAGGGCAGGGACACCTTAGCTTGCACAAGAGGTCAGAACTGAAGCTGTGATTGTTGCTGGCATCCTGCTCTTGGCTTTATTGCTATCTGAAAGAAGCTAGGTGATAACAGCATTGGGGAGAGGACTTGAGAGCTGTGACAGGCCGGGGGAGAGAGCGAGAAAGTAATTAAGGGCTTAAAATGGTGCCAAAGGCTTGCATTTCGTGCTTTCTGTGACCTTGGAGGTGAAGGTTTTGTGATCCTTTGTATTTCACTGTGTGCAAAAGGGGAAATCAAGCCAGGCTGGTGTCAAAACAGGTGCTGGCCCAGGGGAGGACAAGTGGTGTGGGAGTTAGTGTCTGGCTTGATGCTGCTGACACAAGAGGATGTACCAAAAATAAGGGAAAAGGTTGTGAACAAACCAAGGAGACCACAGTCCCTCAGTGTTTCCTTAAATCTTGGAGGTGCCTGTGAAACCATCAAAGGGAGAGAACAGAGATATTCCTGTGGAGCTCAGAGGTAGAGCAGGAATTGAGGTGTGTGTGAAAAAACAGCAGGGGAGTCTGTGGGGGTGGGAGAGTGCCTGGGTGGTGATTGAAGTGACATTAGTGGGACAGGCAGGAGCAGCATCAGGGACTCTCTTCATGTGGGGGTGATAAACTCTTCAAACACTGACTGGGAAGCTTTGCTGCCTGTGACCTGGCCAGCATCTCCCAAAATAGTCACCTCACAGTGAGTAACTTCCTTTGCACTGTTCCCAGCTCTCCCTGGCACGTAAATCCTGTCCCCTAGTTCCTCCTGCCTTCCTGTTTGGAGAGAGGAGGGTTGCTGGGAGAGGCCTTCCAAGGGTCCTTGAGCTGTTGGGTTTTCATCTGGGAAAGTCTGCTGCTGGCCTGGGTGGGAGGTGCAGTGTCAGGGTTACATCCTCTGTGGCTGCTCCTGGTTCTGAGCTCCCAGCCTTCACCTGTGCTGTTTGGGAAGAGGGATAGGCTGCTGTTCCTGGGGTGTTTGCTGCTCTTCACTTCCTTTTCACATGCATCTGAACTGTAGATTAGGCTGCTTCTCACCGAAATGTATTCCCAGTGGGAAGGGGAGCCAGCAATTATCCCTACTGCCAGGACTGTACTTTCCCACAGAGCCTGGTCTTAGGGCAAGGAGCCACTTGCTGCCTTGTCTGAGCTCCCTTCTGGGTTTGAAGACCAAAGCAGGAGCAGCTCTTGTGCTTCCTGCAGTCATTTGAGAAAACATCAAAAGAGCTCAGATGAGTGATTTGGATCCCTAAATCTTACTCGTCCCTCTCTGTCCTGAGGGTGATGGTTGTGCTTGTGTTGGAATCTGCAGATTTCCTTGTCCAATGTGGCCCATGGCAGATGGGACAAGGTTTCTGCTGGGCCTTGCCCCATCTTTGGTGCTCCCAGGTGTAGATTTCAGGATTGCTGTCCAGCAAAACATGCTTTGGAGCTAGTGTGTGATGCTTTCTGCCTTCCAGAGCAGGAGGGTCTGCGTGGAAGGGTAATGCAGGAGTGTCTCGTCTGGAATTACGACAGACTGTCATCTCCCTTCCTCTTCAAGCAGTTGGAATAAACTTTTGCACCACAGTTGTCCTCTCTCTCCCTGCTATAAGGAGCGAGGAGGAGGCAGTGCAGGCTTCCTTGGTTCCATGGATCCCTGCTGGGATCTCTGCTCCGCGGGTGAGCCGCTAGGAAGCTGACAGGACACGGGTCCTGCGGGCTGCTGGCTCTGCAGCACCCTCTGGTGTGCTTGGGCTGTCCCTTGACTGCTCCTTTCCTCCTTTCTGGCCCTGCCTCCATCGAAGAAACTCTGAGAGGAGCCACAGCAAGGAGTTAATGCTCTCAAACATACTCAGTTGCTGAACATCAACCAGTGGCTGGTTTATGTATGCCGTGGACTAAACCTGATGTAATTCCTCTTCATGTGTTCCTTGTGTGTGGGCTGAAACCTTCTTTTTCATAATCTCCAGCTGGAATAAATCCTGATTTGATTTTATTTTAGCTACTGTGGAATTGCAAAACTATCTGGTTTTTTTCTTTTTCCTTTTCTTCTTCTCTCTTATTTATTTATTTATTTATTTGTTTGTTTGTTTATTCTCCTTCCATGATAAAAAAGTTCAAGAGCTCTGTGACCTTGCTGTCTGACCTATCCTTACAGTTATTTTGGAGAGGACACTCAGGTTTGAAGAGAATCCTTCCTACCTTTGTTGTCTTGATAGGCAGCACTCAGTTGGTGACACGAGGAGGACACAGTTGTTTTCTTCTTTCCCCTGCATCTCAGATGTCCCTGTTTAGCCAGCACTGCAGGAGCAGCATCTTGAGTTGGAATTCCTTACAGTGAAGAATGAGACTCTTGGCTCTTTGTAGTTGCACTGTTGTGAAATTTAAAAGGAATTTCACAAAAATCAAGAAAAACATTCAAATTTAAATATTTTGCCGTGATGTTTTGGCTTATGCCTGGCTCTGCTAATTAATTCTTCCCCTGTTTGTTGTTTTCCACTGAAACACCCCGCTCTGATGCAGATGAGGTCATCCCAATAGTCAGGTTTTGGGGTTTGCTCTATATGTCCTGTTATCCTGCATGTCTCCAGCACCCCATTGTTTTGTGTGCAGCACTGGCATTCGTGTTAATTCTGGGACTAAGCTCCTGACTTGCACTTGGCACACGCTCTGGTTGCCATGCTGCTGTCCCAGATTCCAGCTGCATTAGGAGACTCCAGCTCCCATGGCCACCACCAGCAGTGCTTTCTGGAATTTGGGAAAACCCAGGGCTGCAGGAGTCTGCCCATGGGCAGGCACTGGGAACCTGCACTGCAGTTAAACTGCAATGGTGTTTTATGTAAAAATAGTGTGTGTAAAGACAGCTGACTGTGGGGTGTGCAGCTGAAAATGGGAAAGAATCCTCATCCAAAATGTGGATTTGGTGTTCAGAGGCTTTTGTTGGGGTGGGGAAGAATGGCCCAGCTATTCTTGTCTGGCTCCATGCTGAGCTGATTTTGAACATTTAGGGAGAGAGGTTCAATATACAGTAGCCAGATGGATTAAGAGTATGTGGGTGAGAACCTGAATCTGTTGAAATAAGTGGGAAGTTCTACTTGTGCTACTGGAGAGAGTCCTTCAGAGGCCACAAAGATGATTTGGGGTCTGGAACATCTCTAATGAGACTACAGGAGCTGGGCCTGTTTAGTCCAAAGAGAAGACTGAGGGGGAATCTCATCATATGAATGTCCCAAAGGTGGGTTTCAAGAGGATGGGGTCAAACTCTTTAGTGGTGCCCAGCAACAGGATGAGAAGTGGCCATGAATTAAACAGCAAGAAGTTCCACCTCAATGTGAGGAAGAAATTCTTTACAATGAGGGTGGCAGAGCACTGGAACAGCTGCCCAGGGAGGGCATGGAGATGTTCCAAACCCACTCGGACTTGTTCCTGTCACCTGCTCCAGGTGACCCTGCCTTGGCTGGTGGGGTTGGACTGGATGATCTCCAGAGGTTCCTTCCAAGCCCAGCTATTCTGTGAGCAAAGTCGGGATTTCTTCCTCTTCATTTCCCTCACCATGGTCTGACCTACCCTGCTCTTTGTTCTTGCAGAACATCCAGAAGATGCTGGGCCTTGCTCCCTCCCGGGCTGCCACCAAGCAGGCAGGAGGCTTCCTTGGCCCCCCACCTCAGGCAGGGAAGTTCTCCTGAAGCACAGCCCTCACGGGAAGCCTGACCAGTGCAACAAGACTGCCTTGGGAATGTAACAAGCCGGGATTCTGCACCGAGCATCACCACATGTCCAAAACCAGGCTATGCAGTATTGAATTCATCATCCATTCGGAGTATTCCACCAGCAGTTGTTCGTTCACCCAACCAAGAAACTTCTCTCGGAAGATAACACGACCTTTGTTTCTGAGTAATAAACGGCATGGGCATGTTAATTTATGTTAACAATGTCTCTTAATTGGGCGATCGGGAGCGGGCCCGGCTGCCTGGCCGCTGGCACGCCCCGGG